AGAGAGAGATGATGGCGGAGGAAGATCGGCGCTGAGCGCATCTTTATATAATTGCGTTCACTGAGGTTATTGCAATTATAAAACATAATCGGCCTGCTCGCTAGATCCAGCCATGGGTAACGAGGCGAGCCTGGAGGGCGGTGAAGGGGCCACTATGGTGGGGTTATCGGTTTCAGCACCGCCGAACCCTGGACAGCTCCTGAAGCCCGTCAATGGCGCGGCGGCCGGCGCTGGAGCATCCCTCGAACCCAGGGCGGGGGTGAATAGGTAAGACCAAGGCTCGCTTTCCTACCAGATTATTTTACAACATGCGCTATAGGGCCATCTCGTTTGCATTTGTTTTCCTCCTCGAATAAGATCTACGATTTGACAGCGAGAAGCCGTGTGATTGATTGCGAGAGGAACGGATCGCTGTGTGATGCTTGTTTCTAGGCTACGGTCTCGGTTCACGAACATAAGTGTGCCGTTCACTGCGGAGGGGAATTAAAGACGGGGTTTCTGATGTGCTGCCGTCGTCAGATCAGAGAGATCGACACACCTGAGCCTCAAGATGACAAAACTAAAAGGATGCTGAGAGAGAGAGAATTGTATATGATCGTGTCAATGAGAATTGTGCTCACATGCATTTACTGCCACGCGCTTGAATATTTTCTCCACCAAGAATTACAAACAAAGCGTCATATTTGATGGTGGTTGTTCGTGAAATTATCAGTCATCGCTCCTTATGAGATTTGGCATGCATGCTATAGAAGTCGTCTTCAAACACATGATTTCATTTCTTAAGATTCTTTTCGTTACTGTTGGCTGCTGAAGTGTATCTGTGCATGAGTCGAATTCTCTGAGAATCCTCATTCTGATTTTACGGACAGCGAAAATATATATTTCTGCAAATGGCTGTCTGTATGTGATGGAGGGTAAGAGTAGCTACAACTGTAAGTGCTTTCACATGAAGAATTGATAGCACTGCAATACACGCACAGCAGCTCATTCATCCGTTCATCAGCAGCTCGACGGAGGAGTGACTCATATTTACATCCGAGGCTATATCTGATCTCTGGCGTAAGATGCTAAGAATAGGATGGGATATTTGTGTTTTCAGATCCCGTCACTCACTACCACAGCACATCTGTGTTTTTATTCCGTCGAGGATGGCGTGGAGGAGTGTTGATTTTCCTTTGCACTCCAGCGATCCCTTAAAAACACATGCACAAACACCGCGCCTGCTTCATTCATTCCGGTCGATCCAGTTTTGTCGCCATTCAGCTTCAAAGATGGCCCACGAAACTAGTTTAAACGCTTTCATTTATGCGAAACTAGTGTAATCGTTTGTAAACTGTATTTGTAGTGTATTGTAATTATGAATCATTCCATTAGGCACTTTAATTCCGTTTTAATAAGCTATTTTTTATAATGTAATAATAATGCAATGCTGTCACCAAATCAATATGGTATTGTCAATTGCACATATGAAGTTGCATGTCAATACAACAGTGGGTTGCAGGGATGCAGGCTCAGATCCTTGCTGTTGTCTTGCCATCAAATTTGCAAATAAAATTTCAGATGTATTATAGCCAGAATTGTCTGATGATGATCCGAGCCAAATTTGGTGGAGATCCAATGAACACTACACTGCCTGTGTCAAATTTGCTAGTGCACTAGGCTATTTGAAGGGACAGACATTCTGTAGTGATGTCCGAACCATAGCTAACTCTACTGAGTGCACTTATTCGGTCCCATAATGCACTGCAATGCTGAGTGTACAACCGATGAACACTAGAGAAAGCCAAGAATGCAGTGTGTGGGTTGTGGCAAATTAATTCCTGTCTCACCAGAAGATGCCGTCCACAGCTGAATCGCACAGGTGTAAGTTCCCCAATAATGTATTAATACATTTATTAATTACAATTTGTACAAGCTAGTTTCCATGACAGATTTCAATACAGATAATTTTGTTACTCCCGGAGCTTACCACATAAGCACTGCAAGCACATCCGCATTAAAAGCATTTCCATTGCCCTTCAAATTGTGCAAACTGAAATTACGAATTGAAAATATGGCTAATGGAAACGTCAATTTCGCAAAAACTCGTATATATCGCAAAAACATTTATTACGCTCACATGAGGTGGTTTTTCAGGCAATTCGAAAAAGGAATATATTGCAAAAATGCAATGTAAACAGTTTTTTCCCCCCAGCATTTATATTACCTGGTGTGCATAAAAAAAATCACATGATCATTCTTTAACTCTTTCCCCGCCAAACACGGAATTTTCCGTTATTCATGAGACGACGCTTCCATGCCAAACATGGAATTTTCGGCGTTTCCGTGATTTCACTGTTATACACTGTTTTACACTGTTTCACTGTTATATGCTATTACACATCTCCTGAAAGAGTTTAGAATCACTCGATCAAAAACACAGATGAGGAAGACACAGAAACAAGCGATCTCGTATGTAAGCATATGCATATGAAAAATAATGCGATTATCAACAATAAACAGCATATAAATGAAAACTGCCTAATGTTACAGAGTGAAATGTTGATCCAGGAAGTGGTAAAGGACTGTGCAAGCTTAGGGAGTGCTGATGGAAGCCATCTACTGCACATTTGCTTTGATAATATTACTGAATATGATCCAGATGTAGTATTTGATAAATATGCGATTTTCTCAGCTTTTTTTTTTTTAAACGAAACCTATACCTACATTCAAGTATTTATAAAAAAAGAATGCTTGAAGCTAGAATAAAAAAATATATATATAAAAAATACTTTTGACAAAAAAATGTTTTGTTTAAAAGTAGAGGGTCTGTTCTTTATTTTGATGTATTGCATGTTCAGATATTCATACAACAAAATATTCTAGGGGCCATGAAATTTTAGTCAAAATCCTCAAAAATGCTGGCGGTAGCTGGCAACTTTTTTCCAAAAACGTTTGGATAATGTTTGGATAACCCCTTTTTATACATTGCACACGTCTGCGGTGCGTTACGGCTCTGACACGGCCACCGGCGCTAATCACGGCCACTGAAGTCAATGCTTGTGTTTATACCAGCTGCGCCGAGGCACACAAGCATCCCAGTAGTGGCTCTCCGTGCTGCTTTGCTAAAGATACACGCATATGTCTCCTTTGATTAAAAACAATGGTTAGTGCGGTGGCTGTGATAAAGCTACCAACATCTGTCACCATGACTTATCGCGAGAGGAAAAAGTTACATTTTAGTCGCATAACATCGTTAATGGAAACACTGCCATTTTGCAATAGTTTTTAATCTACATTTATAAAATATCGCAAAAGTTTTGCGCAAATCTGTAACGGAAACGCACCTTTATTAATAAACAGCAAGCATAAAGTATGCAAAAGCGGCACCCCTTCCAGCACACTCAGTATCCAAATTCGCTCATTTTTTTCATTTACTAAGTGGACAAATGTGGGAAATATTGGATTGATTTTTGATAAGCAACTGACAATAAAATTCAAAATGGTGGACAGGCATTCACAAAGGTTTGGAGGGGATTTGAATATCTCATCAGCCCTGAAAATAACTGAGTATGAGATACCGACAATGCTTGCAATGGAATAAAACAAAACAAAACTAACTTATCAAAAACTAGACTTCTCTTACTCAAATACGGCAGAGAAGTGTGGTGCTAGTGCAGAGTGTAGAGTAAAAACGCCGATTTAGTTTTTGACGCAACCGACACAAGTTCGAATCTGCCTTTTCTGGATCCCAATCTTCTCCTTACTCCCACTGCATGTCAGGTTTTTTAAATGTAAATGAAGAAAATTGGAACTAAAGAGTCTAACAATTATTTTATAGATGTATAATTAAAATCTCATTGGTCAGATGGACTGGCATATTGACTGCAACATATGAAGCTCATTTTGTCACCACGCTCATAACCATAGCTCCCTTTCTGCACCTTTGAGAATCTGTTGCTAATGCTAAAATAGCTTCTGCCATATTGTATGCTGTGTTAAATTACATGTATTTAAGCAGTTGGCTTTTATTGTTATTTTATAGTTGTTACACTCTGTTATTCTGTTAATCGGAGCGTAGCTGAACTAAATTAACGTCACAGGACAAAGCAGAGTCCCTGTTGTATTATAACCACATAAATTAGAAATATCGTTTGATCGGTAGTGAATAAAGGCATCTCTGATTGGTAAATGACATGCTGAGGCTGCAAAATATACAAGGGCTGTCCAGGAAAGTATCCAGCCATGTAATATGAAAAATACGAGTTGAGAGATGCAGTACCACGAAAACAGCCGCAGCTATGGGCAGCTTCATCACAACAATGAGTTCTATTTTTGGCTTTTCCCAAAACTAAAATCACCTTTGAAAGGAAAGAGATTTCAAACCGGTTCTGATTCCAACAAAGTGTTTTGAACAGTGGAAGAGACGTTGGCAGAACTGTGTGAGGTCCCAAGGTGCCTACTTTGAAGGGGACTGAGGCGTCCTTATCCTATGTACAATGCTTTTGTATCTTGTATCCATAAATATCTTTTTTTTCTTCCTGTTACATGGCTGGATACTTTCCGGACAGACCTCATAGACTCTTTTTGTCTTTCTTGGCAGGCACCTCTAGCAGTCATGCATGATAAATCAGCATGATTCTGATGAACGAGCTTGGCAAGCAGCACAATTGCATGTACAGTGTAACAGTGATTTCCAATCCTGGGGGCCCACCGCTCTGCACATTTTGTACGCTTCTCTTATCGGACATACTCAGTTCAGTTAATAGAGCTTTCTCCTAATGAACTGATGATCTAAAAATCATGAACTAAGACACAAAATGTGCAAAATGGTGACTCCTCAGGACCAGGAACTGAAATCCATTGGTGTAAAATGCTCTTAATACCTTGTATATAGTTATAACCCGATATCATGAAAGCACGTTTCAATGGCACGATTTTCTGTTTCTATTCGGCGTACTATTTATACGCAGAAACCGACTTTGGCGTGCATATTATACACAATGGGTAGGATTAGGGGTGTGGGGTGTAAATAGCATGCAAAATACAAAAAAAATTGTGCTATTTGTACGCATTTTCATGAGACCGGGCTCTCAGTTCACTCTCAACGTTGCTTGATGTATAGCTTACTGTACTATGAGTTTTGGATAAAATAACCTGTTATTCTATCAAATAATTAGGCTGGAAAGCTGTATATCGTGTATGATGTGTAATATTCATCACCACTGATAGCAGGATATCACTGTGCCCCAAAAACCCCTCAGCATCATTCACATGCATTCAAACAT